TTCGTGTTGATTTTTTCTCCCCATGTGGTCTTTGCTCTCGAAGCCTTTGTACATCTCTACGCGGCGGCGAAAAATGTACTTTTTAGTATACAAAGTAATAAGAAATCGGTCAATTTGGGGACCCTGCCATTTTTTAATTTTTATCACCAAACACCTTGTGAAATTTGTTTCCTATCTAGTTGTCTGGAAACATGAAAGAATTTATATGGAAGAAATCTGGAAAAGTGAAGAATTTGTATGGAAAAGTGAAGAATTTGTATGGAACATGTGAAGGATTTTTTCAAGAAAAAATGAAAAACTATATGGAAAAATGCTAAATTTGATTGAAAAAGTGAAAGAATTTCTATGACAAGAAATGGAAAAATGACGAATTCGTCTGGACAAGCGAAAGAATTTATATGGTCCAACGGTATTCTAAGTATAGGTTTTTTGACGTCAACTGTATTCTAAAATATTCTAAGTATCGTTTTTCAAGTTCAATTCCTGGGATGCCCGGGGAAGCCGAAATTTCAATTCCATATTCTGTGTGCGTGGAGGACCTTATATATATATATATATGTTGTAATGTCTTGGGATGTTCTAAGTGTGGGGGTCTCCACAGCTGATTGATAACTGTGTAAGCGTATAAATAAAGTTGTGTCAATAGATCATTATAAATATATATATATATATGTATATGACAATGTTGTAATGTCTTGGGATGTTCTAAGTGTGGGGGTCTCCACAGCTGATTGATAACTTTGTAATCGTACAAACGCAGTTATCTCAATAAACTTTTAATATATATATATATATGTGTGTGTGTGTGTGTAATGTCTTGGGATGTTCTAAGTGTGGGGGTCTCCACAGCTGATGAATAAGTTATTGTTGGTACAAATAGAGTTAAGTCAATAGATCATTATAGACATTTATATATACATATATGTGTGGTAATGTCTTGGGATGTTCTAAGTGCGGGTGTCTCCACAGCTGATTGACATTTTTTTGTTCATATAAATATAGTTATGTCAATAGATTATAAAAACTATATATATGTGAAATGTCTTGGGATGTTCTAAGTGTGGGGGTCTCCACTGCCAATTGATAACTTTGTGTTCAAAAGAAAGAGTGATGTCAAGAGATCATTATAAACACACACATATATATATATATGTTGTAATGTCTTGGGATGTTCTAAGTGTGGGGGTCTCCGCAGCTGGTTGATAACTTTGTGTTCATATAAATATAGTTATGTCAATAGATCGTCATATATATATATATGTTGTAATGTCCTGGGGATGTTCTAAGTGTGGGGGTCTCCACAGCTGATTGGTAACTTTGTGTTCATATAAATGTAGATATGTCAATAGATCATTATAGAAATATAAGCTGCTCCGCTTACATAGAATATGATTTTTTAGATTGCACAGGCAAATTTGCCGAACATGTACTTAGAATATTTCCCCATTTCATGTTTATTTTTCTCTCCCCATGTGGCCTTTGCTCTCGAAGCCTTTGTACATCTCTATGCGGCGGCGAAAAATGTACTTTCTAGTATACAAAGTAATAAGAAATCGGTCAATTTGGGGACCCTGCCATTTTTTTTAAATCACCAAACACCTTGTGATTTTTTCTCTATCTATATATTTGTCTCGAAACATGAAATAATTTATATGGAAGAATTTTGGAAAAGTGAAGAATTTGTATGGAACATTTGAAGGTTTTTTAAAGAAAAATATAAAACTATATGGAAAAATGCTGAATTTGACTGAACAAGTGAAAGAATTTATATGGCAAAAAATTGGAAAAGTGAAGAATTTGTATGGAAACGTGAAGGATTTATAAAGAAAAGTGAAGAATTTCCATGGAAAAATGACGAATTCGTCTGGACAAGCGAAAGAATTTATATGGTCCAACGGTATTCTAAGTATAGGTTTTTTGACGTCAACTGTATTCTAAAATATTCTAAGTATCGTTTTTCAAGTTCAATTCCTGGGATGCCCGGGGAAGCCGAAATTTCAATTCCATATTCTGTGTGCGTGGAGGACCTTATATATATATATATGTTGTAATGTCTTGGGATGTTCTAAGTGTCGGGGTCTCCACAGCTGATTGATAACTTTTGTGTGCATATAAATAAAGTTATGTCAATAGATCATCATGGGATGTTCTAAGTGTGGGGGTCTCCACAGCTAATTGATAACTTTTGTGTACATATAAATATAGTTGTGTCAACAGATCATCATGTTATGTTCTAAATGATCTGTTTTCCATGTTCTAAGTGTGAGGGTTTCCGGCTGTTCCAAACATAGCTTTAGACATAAAAATAAACAACGTTTTCCAAATGATGTTCTAAGTGACTGTCCGGCACTACATAGAAACAAAGTTGGTGAACCGAGCAAAGTTTGGACGCTGGCCAGCTGGAGCTGAAGCTGCAACAGTTTCGCAACTTTGGCAGCGGGCTGAAGCTGCAGCGAAGCTTTGCAGGGCTGGCGGAAACGTGCCAACCAGCAGTTTCCAAGCCCTATAGAAAGAAGGTTGTGGAGCTGAAGCTGCAACAGTTCGGGGACCCTCTAGAAACAAGGTGGTGAACGCAACCAGTGGCAACGGGCTGAACTTTTCAGGGTTGGGCGAAACGTGCCAACCAGAAGCTGCAGCACTTTAGGGACCCTATAAAAACAAGGTTGGTGAATCTAGCAAAGTTTGGACGCTGGTCAGCTGGAGCTGAAGCTGCAGCAGTTTCGCAACCCTTGGCAACGGGCTGAAGCTGCAGCGAAGCTTTTCAGGGCTGGGCGAAACGTGCCAACCAGCAGTTTCGAAACCTGATAGAAAGGAGGTTGTGGAGCTGAAGCTGCAGCATTGTAGAGGCCCTATAGAAACCAGCACTTTAGAGAGCCTATAGAAACATGAGCCTGGCAAAGGTTTGGACCCTGGCCACCTGGAGCTGAAACTTTATAAGAATTTTCGCAACCCTAGGCAACAGGCTGAAGCTGCAGCGAAGCTTTGCAGGGCTGGGTGAAACGGGCAAACCAGCAGTTTCCAAAGCCTATAGCAAGGGGGTTTTGGAGCTGACGCTGCAAGACCCTGTACAGAAACCAGCACTTTAGAGAGCCGGTGAACTTAGCAAGGGTTGGAACCTGGCCACCTGGAGCTGAAGCTGCAGCAAGTTTGTTGAATCTAGAAAAGTTTGGACCCACCTGGAGCTGAAGCTTAATTTTTTTTCCGCAACCCTAGGCAAGAGGCTGAAGCTGCAGCGAAGCTTTTCAGGGCTGGCCGAAACGTGCCAACCAGCAGTATCGAAACCCTAGAGAAAGGAGGTTTTGGAGCAGCTGAAGCTGCAGCATTTTAGAGACCCTATAGTAACAAGGTTGGTGAACCTAGCAAGGTCTGGAACTTGGCCATCTGGAGCTGAAGCCGCAGCATTCGCAACCCAACCCTTGGCAACGGGCTGAAGCTGCAGCGGAGCTTTTCAAGGCTGGGCGAAACGTGCCAGCCAGCAGTTTCGAAACCCTAGAGAAAGGAGGTTGTGGAGCTGAAGCTGGAGCTCTTTAGAGACGCTATAGAATCAAGGTTGGTGAACCTCGCAAGGTTTGGACCCTGGCCACTGGAGCTGAAGTTGCGGCAGTTTCTCAACCCAACCCGTGGCAACGGGCTGAGGCTGCAGCGAAGCCGCAGCAGTTTTGCAACCGCTGGCAAGGCTTTGGAGTTAGAGAAAAGCTGGTGGACCCTGGCCACCTGGAGCTGAAGCAGCTTCGCAACCCTTGGCAGCCAAAGCTTGCACAAGTGGGGCCACAGCCAATGTCGCACACCTACGGTGATCCCCGCCTAGGCCAAGGCTAGGCAGGGGACGGCGGATTTTTCAGTCTATAGGATAGGAGTTCGTGCTTCTCAATTCTTCTCATAGATTGGGGTTTAGGTCTAACTTTTCAGCATCCGGTCTCCAGGGTGCTGTTCAAGATCCAGAGCCAAGTTTACTAGCGGTTGGGCGGTTGGGTTGGACTAAATCTAACAACATCAGGACAGAAACATGTTGCTTGTAAATCTATATTTCAGATTTCACATCTTCATTTTGGGAGGTCGAAACACTTGATGCCATGCCGGAACCTTTGAGTTTGTATGTGATTAGCAAATGGACATGGTACATGGTGTTCAGCACCAAGCACGCTTCCAGGACCAAGTTTTCGAACTTCGAGCCCTGCACCGATGGGATGCAGTGAATCATGCGAGGGAAGACGCCGTGTTCAAAATGCAAACCATTCCGAGTTGTTTAGCATTGCACAGGACCGGAGGCAGTGGAGAGACAGATTGGGGGGAGTTGTTTGGCGCAAGAGCGGCTTTACTCTTCGCATGACATTTTTTCTAATGTGATTTGTTTGTGTTTGATGCACGCAGCGTTTGTGTCCCAATGACTTAACCACGAACTTGGTTGATTTCACATCTGAGTAGGGGGGCAGATGATGCTAAACGAATTCAACTTGTGTTTTGGTGCATGGGCTGAAGTTAAATCGGTTTGAAATACGGTTATGTTGGAAACATTGCGGGCCATCAGCATCATGAGGACCCTGCCAAAGAAGTGAAGGAACAGGACAGCGCGACAGCGCCATCCTTGCAGATTAAAGGAAGCCAGCATTCTGGTTTGCTGGAGTTCTTGTGGTCAGTCTGGTCAGTCTGGGGTGTTTTTTCTTACAACTATTTTCCAAGCAAATCAGAAGTGTTCCACTCAATGATTGAGACAGTTGATCTGCGTTGAAATTCCCAATGTCTGGCCTTCGATGAGTTGTGCCTGCTGTGCAGGACTTCTCGGAATACCACAGGCAGCTCTTGGTGAAGGCATTGGAATTCAAGGGCAGCCAGGATGGCTCGGGAGGTGTGTCTCTGTGACATGCATTCTGTCCTTGCACTTCTTGGAACCATCTATATATTTGTTATTCTTGAGCAGGTTCCACTCCAACTAGTTGGAGCACGGCCTTTAGATGGCCGTGTGTTTTTTTGATTCATGGAATGTTGTTGATCATGTTTGATGTGCTCGTGCCAATAGGAATTCGTGCGATTTTAGCGTAAAGGCCGTGAACGCCTTAGTTCCAAGCAGAAAAACAAAAACAGTCATTTTGACCACACGAAACCTCCATTTTAGGGGTTTTCTTCAAAGCCTCCAACTAATTTGTATTCACAATTTTTCAGCCATCTTTTGTTCACAGCAGCGCTTCAAGTTCTTCGAAGAACATTTTAGGATCTGGATTCTGCAAGCTTGATCGCCAGCACCACATGAACACATATTGTGTCACCGAGGGGTGCAAAGTGGAATGTCCACGCTCTTTGCATTTCAAAACCATGTGAGCTGACAAGAAATCTTTCAAAGACTTACAGTAGCGTAGCATGACGTATGGGTGGAAGTCCAAGAGAACGTGCAGTAGCGTAGCATGACGTATGTGTGGAAGTCCAAGAGAACGTACTGGTACAGTAGAATAGCATGACGTACGCGTGGAAGTCCAAGAGAACGTACAATAGCGTAGCATGACGTATGTGTGGAAGTCCAAGAGAACGTACTGGTACAGTAGAATAGCATGACGTATGCGTGGAAGTCCAAGAGAACGTACAATAGTGTAGCATGACGTATGTGTGGAAGTCCAAGAGAACGTACAGTAGCGTAGCATGACGTATGCATGGAAGTCCAACAGTAGCGCAGCATGACGTATGTGTGAAAGAGCCAGTGGGGTATTATCCTACCCCACCCCACCCCACCCCACCCTCCACCCATGAATACATGCCCCAACCGACAGCCACAGCGTAGCATCTACTTCATGTGCAAGTTCACATGAACGTTAACACATGCCCCACCCCACCCCACCCCATGTAACCTACTTCTGGGAACGTGTCTGCACAATGCATCTACAGTATACCATGTGACATGTTCACTTTAATTCACATCATCCACTGCGCCGCCCCGTGGCTCAAGATTTGCTAGCATAGCTACAGAAAATGTGCTGCGCTCCGACTGCTGACCACAAGTGTTCATAGCTTTCTAGCTTATATCCGGGGCCCCTAAGTACCGGGGATTGCTACCTCAAAGTGGCAGCGGAGCACTGTGCCCTGCTAAGATCCGATATTCGGACTGCAGTTGCTTCTTGCACCTGCACCGACATCCGGACTTGCAACGGCAGCTTGTGGTACAACTCCGAGTAGCTGCCATGGTCTTAATCCAAAACATGGATTCGGACGAAGAACAACTTCAAATCCAAACATATGGAGAGCCGGAAGCCTACGCCGTCAGTACCATGGACACCAGACTAGGTATCAAAATGATTCCAAAGGTACCTCCAATTGATGGCCAATCCAGTTGGTTTGAATATGAGGACTTGATAGATGACTGGTTAGGCATCACAACATTAGATGCAGACAAGCATGGCCCATTGCTCAAAAATGCACTCGTAGGAGCCGCTTGATTTTACAAGTCAATGCTCGGCAATGCCCTACTCCAAGATCCTGATCGTGGCCTCTCTCATTTTAAGGACGCATTGAGACCCTACTTCGTGAAGGGAGTAAATCATGTGTTTCTTTGGCGATTCCTCCAGTTGTTTCGCACTTACCGAGGCCAGCATGATTTCGTGCACTTTAAAGGACGTTCCGAGATTGCACAGAAGAGACTCCTTGCATCGTGGGCCGACTTGATTGATTTGACTTGACCGATTTACCGGATGTAGGCACGGCCGAATTTTTGGCAGCATTCGCTGATGCACAGCGTGAGCACTTTCAAAATCTAGCCAATGATGAAGAGAGAATGAACTACCAAGTAACCCTTCGAGAACAAACAATCACGAATCGGCGAGCACAGCATCAAAATGCATTTCCATTGTCAGACAACTTGATGTCATTGATCTTTTTAGTGCAATCAGACCTGAATGAGCAACAACGTGAATGTTTGTTTCATCAATGAACATTCGACAGATGGCTATGCCACAGTACACGTACTTGCAGGTGAAACAGCTTTTCCTCGAACTGTTCTCTGTTTCCAGGACTGGAGTCGCTGATCCAAACATTGCGCACCGAAAACGGTCTTCCTTTTTCATCATTGACGAAGGTGAAACTGAGGAAGGAGAACAAGGATTTTGGGTCATTGATGAGGAAACAGGAGAAGAAGGATTCATTCGCAGAAAGGGCAAGAAAGGTATGAAAGGTAAGGATTCTTTCAAAGGAATGCCTTCATGGCAGGGCAAAGGAAAAGGCGATGGTAAGAACAAAGGAGGAAGACAATTTCAACACTTCCGCATCCGAACGCCAGCGGCCGAAGCATGGCGAAGAGATCGATGGCAGGAAAAGACTCTCGGATATCTGCAAGCTCGCCAAGATCGCGAAGAAATCTGCCAGGAGAGACAGGACACCGTCCCTCCGTTGCGCAGAGACAACTTCCGCTCTGCGCAATCGCCTCGGCCGAGATCAATCCACCCCTCGAAGACCACGAACACCTACACCGACCAGAGCATCCATTCCTGCTCGTGGATTGGTCGACAGAGGTCAGAGACCCCACAAGGGAGGAGGACCAGAAGCCGCACCGGTTACTCCCGTGGAGCACACTGGGCCAATATGGGTCGTCAGCAACAGCATTATCGCGAGCCACCGCGATATCAACAGCGAGCTCGAAGCTCAGGAGCTGCCTGGCTGAACCAAGGTTATCAGCAGCGTTATGACCAGCAGCCTCCTCGCGAACCCTATAAGAACCGACATCACGGTTAGGGATATCATCAGCAGCCATATTACAGACACAACCCGCGCAACTCTTCCGTAGAGTATGTACAGGGGTATCAAGTGCCTTATGGGCATTGGCACAGACATGCTGATGGCACCTGGCTCGACATGGTGCCTCACTCTCCTGACGAATCAATCCTCTTTCATCAACCAACCTGGCAGAGACGACAGAATGAATTGTATCGTTATGGATACACATTTCGAATGGGACTCTGACTGAGAACTAGCCGACCACCGGCAAAAACAGTCTCCTTTGCGGCATTTTGAGAAGACTACAAGCCGTATTCACGGCCAGCAGTAGCATTTTCATTTTGTCTACGGACACGTTTCACAGCAGAGCATAAGCTGAGCGTTTCTTATGTTACGACACGAAGAAAATTTCTGTCTGTTTGTAGCCTAGTTTTGGAGACGTGTCTACACAATGCATACAGTTTGCATAACATGTGACATGTTACATGTTCACTTTAATTCACCCACTGCGCCACTCCGTGGCTCAAGACTTGCTAGCATAGCTACAGAAAGGGTGCTGCGCTCCGACTGTTGTCCACAAGTGTTCATAGCTGTATTAGCTTAGGTCCAGGGCCCCTACACAGCCGTCTAAAGGCCGTGGTCCAACTAGTTCGTCGAGTTTTAGCGATTTTCCTGTAATTTGGGGGATGCTTCACGGTGTTTTCCCCAATCACTCTCAAAATATCGCAAAATAGCTCGCCGAACCCCTAGGAAATTATTTTTGCCATGCTGATGCTGATGGTTTTTTCCAAGCATGTTTTGTTGCAAATACAATTCCAGGAAATTGGGGGGTCCCATGGAGGGTTCAGTGGTCATGTTGATTCTTGGCTCGTGTACAAAAAAGGGTAACACTGCAGTCAATGAGAACGACGCCTGCAGGAAGAGAATCATATGGACCAAGCACATGGGCATCTTGATGCAAAATACATGTGTTCGCACTGTCGCAAGGGGCAGCGTCAAACAGGCCAATGTCAAAAGATCGCTTTACATGAGCTGAACTTGAGGTACCGGAAGCAAAACAGGCAAAAAAATACATAGCCATAACTATATATGTATATTATATTATATACTATAATATATAAACATGCGTAGAGTGGTCCCTGGAAGAGCGCAAATTGGCAGAAATAAATTGATAAGTGCAGCAAATGTTTTTTGTCAAGAAGCGCTGAAGGGTTACTTTTGCATATGAAGCAATTATTTATCGGAAATTGCAAGATTTCACTGCGTATGTTTCACCGGTTTCCTGCCGCCTACCTGAATTGAGGACTGGTTTTCGGCCCAGGTCAGCAAGAGGAACATCGAAACCATTGAAGAGCCACGAGGCCAGCCATTGCGGATGGACCATCTTCCGCAGCAAGGGAGGTTTCACGTGGGTATTTTTCAGGTCGGACAAATCACAATCCAATCTTTGGGAGAATTTGCAACTTGAGTAATTTCAGAATTCACATCCTTGTACTTGAGAACCTCCAAGCAGAAAATGGGGATCCCAGGAATGTGATGCTCTTGGAAATGATAATTTCGGAATCGATTATTTTCCTTGTCAGTATTTGGCAACGTACACGAAATTGGTGGAACACCTAAAGCCAAAAACTATTTGCAGTAAACATGCTGACGGAATCAAGGGAAAATGGCCCCGCAGTGGTGTGTGTCGCTTTGATTCCAGACAGGATTGGTGCCACCTCTACTTTACCCTCCGAAACGCGCCAGCCATCCTGGAGAACATGGGTGATGTAAGCTATGGCGGCCACATCAGGGAGGGAAGTGCAGAGTGCTATGTGTCATTTCCAGGCAAATATGCATCCGGGTGGGATGCTTTGACAAAAGAGAGGCACAACTACAGCGTGGCTTGCGTTTTTTTGTGCACTCCTGAGGATGGCCTTGGTCGTCATCACCATGAAGAAGCCTCTGGCCCTTGCCTGTGCCATACAATTTATGGAACACGCAGCTATAAAGAATTCGGTTACTTGAAGGTTGTGCCAGGCACATTGACCGATGATGAGGTCACAAAGGAAAGAGAAAAGGCAAAACACACAAAAGCGGTGGTGATCTGTGCAGATGCAAGCAAAGAGGCCAAAGAGCAGGCTGAAAAGGAAGCCAAAAAAGCTTGGAAGGAGAACGGCAAAGTTGCTTCGTGGGGATGTCAGTGGTTCCAGGACTGGAAAGGGAAGGTGGAGGAGGCCGTCAAGTTGAAACAGAGGCTCAAGGCAGTATTCTTTCCTGGTGAGGTGGGGCAGGGCAAAATCCCCTGGGAAGATTTGAGCAGTAAAAACGTAAACCTTTGGAACGACAAAGGCTGTGGAGGCAGCCAAAAGTGCGAAATTGCTTATTTAGAGAAGATGTGGAAGGAAAAAGGGGATGACTGGGCCTACGACTGCGTGGATGTGACACATTTCCTGAAGGGTGAATTCAAAGTTGGAGGGAGAGTCGACGCCTTCGACGGGCAACAGTGGTGGAACGGCACTTTGCTTGGAGTGCCAAAGACGGTCCCGAAAAATCCTAAAGATGCACAGTGGGTGGTTCAATCCCAGGCTGGAGAAATCTTTACCACCGACCGTGTGCGGCATGCTGATTCGATGAGACAGATGCTTGCAGATGTTGGGCAAGAGGAGTTTATGGGTTTTGTGAAGAGTGCATTACCTGCAGGACTCCAAGTCTCGAAACCTCTGGAGTTCATCTTCCCAAACGGCACGCCTTTGTTGGCAATGAGACTTGACATCAAATCCATCCAAGCACTCCAAGTTGTGAGGAACACAGTCTTGAGCACTGAGTTGGAAATTGCTGTGAACAAAAAACTGGAAATGCATGCAAATGCAAAGTCAAAGTGGCAAGTTCGGCTGGACAAGACTTACTTCTGCAAGGTCTTTGAGAAGGAACTGTTGTCCTTTTCAGAATTGACCAAACACCAAAAAGAAAAGCTCCAGAACATCGAGGAATTGCTTTGCTATGGTCCTGTGCATTTGTCGGCCGTAGCCATTTTGGCTCAAGCCATTTTGGCTCAAGCACGGTGATTGGCTCAAGCCGCCCAGGTTTGTAGCCAAGCAAATAGGCATTTCGGGCGCACTTTTAAAGCCATGGCGGGCTTGTTCAAAGCCATGCTGGCGGTGCTGGCCCTGTGCTGCGGGGGTGAGATGAACAGAGATGACGATGGACAATGGTTTGTGCAATGCCGGGTGTATTGCATCTTACTCACTGTCCCTTTTTTTGTGCTAGCTACTTCGTGAGGTATCAATTCGTTGCATTGAATTTGAATTTTGACGTCCTTGCAATCTTTTCTGGTGTGTGTATGGGTATGGCTGCGGTTTCAAGACGTTTGTGCAGTTTGTGCAGTAAAGCCGGTAAGATTGAATGGATGATGCAAAGTTGGAGCCGGATTTTCCACATCGTGAACTTGGTGAGGAAAACTGTGTGTGGGAGAAAAGTGTGGTGGCCTCTCTTGAAGATTATGGTGATTTTAACAGGTTGTGCTTGTTTTTGCTGGCTTGAGTCACCGTGGAGCTTCAAGTTCTATCAGCGCTTCGTGGCTATGTGGTCCACTGCTTGGATGCATTTGTGGGACCTTTGGGGCTCTTTTGCTGCTTTTGTATTCTTCCACGTCAAAGCCATGATTTTGCAGACTCATGCTTCGTGTGTTTCTGGACACACCGTGGATGGTTTTCAGGCAACTCCTGGATTCGAAATACCGGTGAATTGCGTTGCGCAGATGGTTGACACGGATTTCAAACCAACTTGGAATCATGGTTTGCTGTCAGCTGTGGCGATGATGTCTTATTATTTCGTGACCCTTTGGCAATTTTGCTCCACTAGGACATGCAAGCTTGTTTCATGGGGGAGCGTTTTTACAATGATGATTTCTGGGTTGGTTTTCTGCAACCGATCTCTTTGCCATGTCACGCAAAGGCCTCAGATTGCTGAGGTTGTCTCTGCAGTGTCACAGTGGTGCCAGCAGTTTCAATTCACAGGTGCCGATCTTGTTTGTTTAGGCCTCAGTTTAATTTGTGTGCGATGTTTCAGACAAGCCGTCATTTGGAGTTTCCAAACCAGACATGATGCTTCTGTTGCATACATGCAGAAGCACTTTTTGCGAAATGCCGCGGTCGTATTTTGCTTGCATACTTGTTTGTCCAATCCGACCAGCCTCTCTTTCGTTTTCGCCGGGGCCTACAAGGTCCTTGTCCTGATGTGCGGAAAGAAGAGAATAGTAGGTTGTGGAATAGCACTCCTTGGCATCATGCTCATGCGAATGTTGTTTTCAATGCATCGGTTCCTCACATGGAATGCACAGAAAGCGCTGCTGTGGTTCTGTCATCTGGCATGCAAGATCATGGTCATCGCTTTCTTTTTCCGAAAGCTGTTGACTGAACCTTCTTTTGTGAATCTGCTTTTGATTGGTTTAGGGGTTGACATCATCGATTTGGTGACATTAGCTGTTTTCAGGATAATGCTGTCACTTCACCATTTGAATGCAAGGCCAAAGAAAGTCTTCAAGTGCAGAAGAGTTGGCCGAAAGCGCTGCCGATTGCATCGTAAGTGCATCCGAAAGCCAAGAGTCAGTTTGTTTAATAGGGTAGGCCGTTTCCTGTCCTTTTGCGTACGTGCGCAGTTTTGCCCATTCTGTCAAAACATGCCTGAGCATTCGCAAACCTCCCGGCCCAGATCTTCCTTCCGCGGGGGAGGTCGTAGAAACAGTCCAGAGACACCGGAACAGAAACTGCTGCAAGGTTTGCAGATTTTGTTGAAAGATACTTTGCAGGCCTCTAGCTCCGGAGCCTCAAACAAAAAAGGCAAGGGTAAGGGCTCCGGCAAAAGTAGTGGTAAAAGCCTACCTTCCAAACAGAGAGATGCGAACCATGATGGCAGCTATGGGCTGATTCAAGCCTTGCAAAAGCTAACTGCCCGAGCCGCAAAGAAACCACAAGGGTTGCTCCAAAGGTTGAAAACATTGGTTCAAGTTACTGAACGTGGTATGTTGCGACCAAACAAGAGAAAGAAAGATCTGCCGCCGCATGAGGCGGTCCCGCCAGTGAAACCAAGCACACGATTCAAAAGTTCAGAAAATTTGGTAGATGGTGCTCCTAAGCCAAAAACACGATGGCAACGCGACAGATCCTGGAAAGCCCGTGCCCAGGACTGGGGCGTCAAAACTGTTTTGCGTGGCCCCACAGCTCTGTGCAACGCTCTTGACAGTGGGGACACCGGTGCTCTCCTGTGTCAAGTACAAAATCTGGATGATTGGAATGAAGCCCTCCAAATTTCTCATGCTGCTGGTCGCACCAATGTCACGGTTGTTCTTGAAGCTGCACCTAACATGTCTCCAGAACTTGGCAAATTGAGATATCATGGTTGGACAGCCTTGAACACACGTGCAGCTGGTTATGCCGATGATAAATTGGTCCAGCGCTTGGTTTGGATTGCGCGGTGCTCGCCAAATGCACCCACATTGGTTCCAGGATCCGTGCTGACAGGCGCCAGGCGGCCTGTTGTCCAGAAACACGGCCATGAAGAGTCTTTTGTTTTTCGAATTAGTTGTGACATGCGATTTATTGCCAGTGACAATCGCCATCATATCACACAGGGACCTGGGAAATTTTTTCGTTTGTGGCTGTCTGATTTAGGCCCAAACGCTAGGGATCTTCTGCTTCACCTTGGTGACACGTGGGGATTCCAAAAACTCGAGGCTGAAAACCTGGTTCGAGGATTTGCTCGCGTCAAAGGCAAAGACAGGGCCCTGCAGTTGATTAAAGCGAGCGGCTCAGAACACAAAGGTCAGGTTTGGTTTCTTGATCCTGCCAGATGGGATGGCCTCGCAGAAACACCTCCACGCATGCTTTGGGTGGACAAATTGGAAAATGAACAACAAATTGCATTTGCTCGTCGCGTAGCTCATGATTCGGGTCCTTTTGGCATGGCTAGGGGTCGTGTACAGCTGGCTCTCAGGGTCAAACCAGACGATGAGCGGCTCAAACCCACTTCTAGTGTTTGGCGGGTTGAGACAGTGCCGTTTGGTTGGGATTTTGAAAATGTGGAAGAAACTATGGTTGAAGCAGGTTTCTCTGAAATTGATATTTTAGCAAAGCAACGCCGTCGTGGTGGCACTGCTTGGGTTTTCAAAGGCATGAGAAATGATGACCGTGATCAAATGCAAATCCATTATGATGCGGACGAGACGTGCAATGAGCCACCATTAGATCTGTTTTTAGTTAAGCAGTCCAAACGACGTGCGCCAGGAAATGTCCAGCCGTTGAAAGCAGAAAATGATGTGCTCTTTTCACTAGATGCATTTCACAAAAAAGGTAAGGGTAAAGGCAAAGGAAAAGGCAAGCACAAATCCAAGCTTGAAGTGCCTGACTTTGCAACCACGCTTGCCTTACCGAAAAGTAGTCCACCTCCATTTCCCTCCAAGGATGATCGCGGTAACGAAGCTATGGATGTCAGTCTGATTAGCGTCCCAGATGCAAGTGATGTTGAGGATGAGCCCATGCATGTCCAGGGCACCAAACGCAAAGACCAGGCCATGTTGACCAGCCCGCAAAAAACTGGTCATGACAAAAAGAGGAAAGTGCCCGAGAGGCTTCAAAAAGTTCCGAACCCTGGGGAAGGGAATTGCTTGTTTTACTGTCTAGCTCAGGCGGAGTCTACCCCAGGTAAGTCCCGCAGCCACAGGCAGGTGCGTGCATTTGTTGTTGCCTACATGACCAAACACTTCAAGAAATACGAGGATTTCTGGGACGGTTTAAGCCCGAGCAACATTCCCATGGAGGGTGGGTTTGACGATTATTTACAAGCCCTTGAAAAAGATAAAGCTTGGGCGGGATATTGTGAAATCGAAGCATATGGCGAAGCCATGCGCCGACCTGTACTTGTTGTGCATGCCAAGGACAATGTTGTCCATGCTTTTAATAGTCATGGCGATAAGGATGTTGTCTGTCTCTGGTACAAGGATGAACATTATGAGCTTATTGTTCCTTCAGACGCAGATATTCAGGCCCTGTGGCAGAATGCTGAAGACGGTGGCACCAAGGGTTACCGCGGGGCCGCAAAGAAGGCACGCTTGGCTGCCGACAATGCCTCTATTTGCCTTTCACAATTTGCAACTCCCAAATCCAGCAGGCCAAGCCCAAGGTTGACCGATTTTGCCCAAAGCACCCCTGCCAAACGGAGTGCATGTCTGACTGATTTTGCATCAACGGCCAAACCGAGCCGTCAAAAGACCGAGCAATCAGAAGCCGAGCCATGTGGTTCCAACCCATCTGCCGCATCAGCTTCTGCGTCTGTTGCCACTGGGCGCGACCGGGAAATCACGTGGACATGTCACATTTGCAATGTCTCTTTCACTGACAAAGCATGCATCGTTTCAAAAAGACGTACGGATCACATTAGGCGTACGCATCGTGGTACCCCAACCACCAATTTTAAAAAGGCTGTTGATCAGTACAGGGCTCCGGTTACTGCCGTATCGTATGGGCCCACTCATGCTGCTGTTTCTTGGACTTGTGGTTTTTGCATGGGCACCCTCCCCATTTTGCCTAAGACACATCAGAAAGCATCAATCGTTGCTCATTTGCGCTCCTGCGCCAAGGCCCCAAAAGGGGCCACCAGAGGCGACTCCATTCTTCGCCTTTGCAAGAGAGCAAGCGTGTCACCTGATGTACCTCACAGAAGCATTTTGCCTTGGAAGCTGAAGCATCGCCAGATGTATGTGCAACTCAACAAGTTTGCCAAGGAGCAAGGACACTCCCTATCCCAAGTGCAGAGACGTACTACTGGAACGAAAAAATTGGCTGGTGGGTCGAAAAAAAGTTATTTTCTTCATGGCTCAGCATGCTTGTTCCATTTGTGCTGGTTACTGGAAAACTGAGAAGTCCGTGAGAGCTGCAGGTCCTTGTGGCGGGCGGACTGCTCGTGCCGAGTGGTTAGCCATGCCTGGTCGCCAAAAATGCTGGCGTCAGGCTCCCAAAGAGCGCCAAGAGGCGCTGCACAAGGCTTGGCGTTTGAGTGCTACTGAGCGTAGGAAGCTTGATGATGCTTGGGCTAGCGCCAAGAAAAAGTCGCGCAAGAAGTGGCCGCCTAAGTCATGGAAACGCGATTTGACTGCTGAGAATATACACCCCCATCCAGGCCCAGGCCATCCTGACCACTGGATTCTCTCGTGGAATTGCCGTGGATCGTGCAATGCTTGGAGGGGCCTAAACTTGCTTCAGGATGAGGGTAATTTGCCTTCTGTTTTATGTCTTCAAGAGCCTGACTTCGAGCCTCGTCAAGGCTCCCAGTATGTTGAAAGGCTTCAGAAACTTGGGTACAAGTGTTGGACCATTCCGGCCAAACCTATTCGCACACTTAAACGTGAATTTTACCGAGGTGGTCTTTTGGTTGCATTGCGAGAGCATCTCAGAGGAGGCATCTGGGACACACTGGCTTGCGATGAAGGGTATGTCATGACTTTGGATCTTCAATCGTGCCTACTTTCCTCAGTTTGGCGCCGGCCAAGCCAACTTGATGGTTTGCAATTTTTGGAATATGTTGCTACGGTCACTGAAGAAGCACAACGCAGGCAGATACCTGCACTTTGGGTAGGTGATTGGAACGAAACTCCTGATGACAACGCCGCATCCATTTTCTTGAATGGCAGTGTTCTGGCTGTCACGGATCCTGATCAATGGGTGCCTAGCCGGTTCGAAGGTAAAAGATGTCTTGATTACGGAATTCTCAGCGGCGGGTACGGTTTTGCTGATTGCCCGCGTTACAGTGAACGTAAGATTTCTGATCACAAGATGTTTTGGCTTAGATTGCGCTTGCCCATTTTCCAGACTGATACGTGGAGGTTCGCTTGGCGGCCTAACTATGAATGTCCTCCGGAAGTGCCTGTTGAGCAATGGCGGGCCGTGCTTGCAGAACAATGGGCCGCTTACGTGCCATGTTTTTCTCAGGATCCCGACCAAGATTGGGCATATTTTCACCAGTTTGCTGAAAAGAGCATGCGTGAAGCATTGCACTTGTGTGGCCAGCCCGTGCCTAGGCCAGGCCATGCGCGCGGGAATTTGCCTCGTGTGATCAAGGCTGAACGCCCCCAGGTGAATACGTTCCCTGCCAGAAAACTTGTTAATGTGCTTGGTCGTCTCTATGAAGTGAAGCGACAGTTAGCCAAGTCCCAGGGAGACAAAAAGCTTTTGCAAAAATTATGGTCGACTTGGCCGTCTGAATACAATGAGCTTTGGGGGTCTTGGAACCACGCTATTGAAGTGTTTGAACAACGCATTGCGCTTGAAAACAGGAAGTCCAAGAACCAAAGGCTGACCGAGTGGCGTACCAGAATGCGCCAGGGGGGCAAAGAGGTGACCCGGTGGATGAAGCCTCACAAACCTCCAACACCACGCTCTGTTTCCGAAGATTCTTGCGCCACGATCACGCAAACCCTTGATTGTATTCGTTCTTTTTGGCAGCGTATTTGGAAACGTGATGACCTCGTTCCACACTTACCCCCGGAATTTAGAACAATGGAAGCCCTGGCTGGACCCCAAACTGATTGGATGCCAGATGCTGCCCTCATCCATCAGGCCGCTCTCAGAGCCTCGGGGTCTGCAGCCGGATGTGACGGTTGGTCCGGCAGCGAAGTTTGCCATTTCCCGCTTGTTGCTTGGGATCACTACCGTGATTTGGTTTTGCATTGGTCTCAGTTAAAACAATTCCCACAGGCATGGCTGCAGGTTCGTCAGGTTCATTTAAGAAAGGATGACGGTGGGACTGTAGGGTCTTTGCGGCCTATTGCAGTTGAAAGCATTTTTCTTCGGTTGGTCTCCTCATCTTATGTGAGGACCCCACAGGTTCAGGAATGGATTGCGTCTCGGGTCCCCGAGCAGTGCCATGGAGGCTTGAAATCCCGGGGGGTTGCCACGGCATGGAGGCAACTCAATGAAGCGTTTGAAAACCAGGAAGTTCTTGCTTCTTTAGATTTCTCCAAATGTTTTGATTTTGTCCACCCAGGTTTGGCCATTGAAAACATGCAACTGCAAGGGTTGCCAGATGAGTGGGCTAACATTTTGATGTTTGTATGGGGTCATCAAGTGCGATGGCTGTGCTTGGGGAAAGCTGTGCACCCAACGCCGGAGCATGTCCAGACCTCCATGCCGCAAGGTGATGCCTTTGCACCTCTGGCTCTTATCATGTTGCTCATTAGGCCCCTTCATGATGTGTCTTCCATTCCAGACTTGCGTCAGGTTGCATACGTTGATGATCGCGCTTTGAGCGCGCCTAATGTTCCACGTTTAATTGCTGGCATCCATAGATGGCGCAGCTGGAGTGCCACTTTGGGTCTCCATGAAAACGTTCAAAAAATGCGTTTAGTTGCCTGCACTGCGCAACAAAAGCAAGAGATCAATGACGCAGGGTTTGGTGAGTATCTCCGACCGGCCACTCGGGTCTTAGGTATTGACTTTAAGGAAAGTGACCTTATTGTTTCCCCTGTTCTTGAAAACCGTTTGCAAGAAGCAGTGTTTGCCGCTCACCGTTTGCAGAAATTGCCGGTTGCCCGCGATATCAGGATGTCTTTGTACAGGTCCAGAATCATTTCACTCGCCACCTGGGGCGCTTGGTTTGAACGATTGCCGCAGTCACAGTTGCCTTCGCTTCGAAAGGCATGGCATGCCATTTCCTATCTGCAAGGTAACGCTTCGAGACCTCTTTTCAACCTGCTTGTAGGTCATATGTATCATGCTGAGTTTTGGGCCACCATGTCTTCCATTCGGACCATGCGCCAAGTTCGTGCCCCTTGGCGAAGGATGCCACGACCTGGAGGCTGGCAGAGTTTCATTTGCGCACGCATGCGAGAGCTGAACTGGGAATTTCGCGGTCCATGGATGTTTGCACATGAGGATTTGGGTCATGTCGATTTATCCAATCCAGATGAAGCTGTTGTGAAACTCACCGAGCACAAGGTGAGAGAAAGTTGGCGCCGAGTGCAATTTGCCCTTTGGAAAAAGCAGAACCGCCGTGATAGGCATTATTTGCTTGATGTGCCGTATGAGGAAAGTCGTGTTTCCGATGCCCGCAAGTTGTTCTCTCTCACGTGTGATAGTCATCAGAGGGCCGTAATGCTTGGTTCTGCGCATTCCACGGCATGTTATGATAAGATGCGTGGACACGAAGTGAGGGAACAATGTCCCTTTTGCGGTGAGCAAATCCCACTTGTCTGGGAACATCTCTCCTGGCATTGCTCCGCCGAACAGTTGTCTTCCGGCCGCCCTGAGGTCCCTGAAGATGAATTGCAAAATCGTCTTGCTTGGCCCACACGTGGGTGTGATGCCTATGATAGAGCGGTTCTTCACCACATGGCCCGGGTCAGGGCCACTGTGCGTGAAAACATGAATTGATCATGTCCCGTTGGCTGCGGTGTCCGGTACCTTCGGGTATTTGAGGCATCCAGTCGTTCAACCCATAATAATGTCGGCAGCCGCTGGAGCTGGCAAGACGTTTGTTGCGGTACAGTGCGCATGCAATAAAATTACAAAGAGCTCTGAGGGACTGGTCTTGTTCGTGGCTCCATCGATCAGCCTCGGGCTCTATTTCTTCCAATGGCTCGCTCAAAGATGCGCGAAAGACCTGTCCCTTGACAATGTGCTGAGCCGCATCGTGCTGATGATATCGCCGTACGCATCATTTCTGAGTCTGCACGCTGAAGGCGGCCGCTTAAAACCGAGGTGTTTATCTGAAAGCTGGATGCAATTTATTTTGGCGATCGTCGATGAGTCGCATGATGTATTCCGGTCCACTGAGTATCATAGTTTTTTTGATTACAAGGTTGAGGCGGAGCAATGTTTGTTGCTCTCCAGTAAGTCCCAAGCATCAGGAGATGAGTTTACTTTTACAGGTGTCGCGGCGCTGAACCTCACTGAAATCGTGAGAAGCAGCCAACGGATCGTTGCAGCATCAGCTGCGTTTCAAGGGAGCCCTGAGGAGAAGGAGGGTGTCGCTTCACTGTGCCCAGCTGGGCCTCCTCTGAAGTCTTTTTTGTTTGAGTCAGATCGTGACACTGTGGATTATGAGAAGCATGCAGAGAAGACAGTCGCTGCACTTTGGGATTTGATGGGGACCTATGCAGACCTCAGCTTTCACCGACGCATAGCTCTTCTTGTGCCAAAAGATTTCCTCAAGAACTTCAAGCAAAGAATGCAAGACCATTTGGCTCATCGCTTCGCAGGGCGAAACTTTGCGCTTACATCATTTCAGGACGCCCTGTCTGTACTTCCCAACCGCGAGGAGAAACAAACCATGGCTGAGGTGATCATCATGGACACAGTGGAGAATTGCAAGGGCTTGGAGCAATTGATAGTTGTTTGCATTGGTTTGGATGAAAGACTGGGAAGCCAGAAGACCAATTACGAAACTCGCGCTTCAATCTACCAAGCCATCACCCGAGCGCAGCTTCAAGCCATTGTGGTGAACCAGCGTCTTCAAGGTGGTTGGTTTGAATTCTTAGGATTGGTGAAGTTTAAGGAGGATATTTTTGATGAGTTTTCAGCTATGGCAGAGACCGACACCCAAGCTGCTGCTCAGAGCATCTCCCAAGCAGTGCCATCAGGGGATGCACACCGGTCAGAGTTGCGGCCTCCGCTGATGAGAGGTCAAAGTGAGCCCTCAACACACGATGAGTTGAAAGTGCAGGACTCCTGATTGACCGCCTGTTGTGCCTTTGTTTTTTGATTGCCTTGTGGGTTAGATACTTCAATTTGAACGGGTTAAACGGTTCCTCCCCTGAGGCCGGGGCCCCGCACCTGCAGTGAAGGACTCCTCTGTATGGGACACGGAACATAATGACATCAAGCTGATCCACCAGCTGCAGTTTGACCCTCGCAAGGCTTGGAGCACAGCAAACCGGTTCTTCGTGACAACTGTATGCGTTTGTTTGCCTTCATTGATTTTTTGTTGGGAGCTTTTCTTTGGAAATTGTCAGGATGTAGGGGTGAGGTCTGATTTCTGAATCCGTGAAATGCAAAAATGCGTAACAAGACATGGTCAGAAAATTGATTAGGATGAGCTGTCCAAGGTGCTTTGCACTGTGCTGTCAAGAATGGTGTGCAGGGTGCTGTCGAAGGTGGTGTCCAGCGTGTTGTCCAGGGTGCGGTGGCGAATGTTGGCAAGGGCGCTGCAGGGTGCTGTCCAGGGTGCAGGCGGGTGCGGTGGCGAGTCTTGGCAAGGTGCTGTGCAGGGCAGCCATTCCACTGCGATCTGCGCAGACTGACTTGCAAAGCACAATACCACACCATCAACAAAGAAGAGAAAAAGTCACTTGGAACATCTTGGAACCCTCAGTTACACTGCGCGCGCAAATTGAGCCGGATTCGGCGGCAAAGCGACGACGTCCGCACCCATCGCGTACCCGAGCCACCATGACTTTTCTTGATGAATCACTCTTGCCTTTTAGGTTTCAGATTGGTGACCTTTATTGGCCTTCTCTCGTCCAAATTATCCAGCAGGAGGTTCCCACCTTCTCCGCTCCAAAAAAATCAAAAGTATCATGGATGTTTGGCCCTTGCTCCTGCTGAGCAGGGCCCAGTGTCACAAATTGAGACCTCTTTCTCCCAGAGGCCATACCTGCATGGAAATAAAAAATGTTCATCAGTGGTTTTGGGTTAGAAAAAATGTGTTTTCAAAAAATCACCTGGTTTCAAGTTCAAAAAGCAGGAGGTTCCCACCATCTCCGCTAGGTTCCTTGCATTAAATGTCCGTCCTGCCCCCCAAAAATTGGTTAAAATGTATGTTCTAAGATGTATCATATATATCATATATCAGTATTATAACAGTATCATAATCATTTTTAATTTGGTTGATTGTTTCATTTTACCATCAACCATATCAAAATCATCACGACCTACCACATTCTCACATCATCCATTTCATCATAAATCAGCAAAGTCTATCATATCATCACCTCATCCATTATCATAAAATCATCACTACCTACCACATCCCCACCCCATCCAGTTTATACCTAAATTATAACGAATAACCATATAACAAAAAAACTCAACAAACATAAGCAATACAATAGTCTATAAAAAAGACAATACAGTACCATAAACTCTAGCAACAAATCATACACTCACCCTTGTTCATATGCCCATGGTATCGCTAATACCTATGAGATGGACTTTAGGATAAATTCTTCCTAGAATTTATCTATAAAGCCACATCCCAGCTTTGGTAAAGCTAATACATAAAACTAGTTGAGAAGAACACCATATATCTAATAATTGATACTATTAAGATTTTTGTTTTTTAATCGTTATAACCGTTCCAAACAAATTCATTCAAATATCCCTTTATGCTTCCCATATCGACCAAGTGGCTGTCATCACCAATCATATTAACAACATACATCCACAGCAAATTTAATAAGCACATTTAATATTAAAGGTCTTGCGCGATATACTCGTTTGTTGTAACTAAAGTATCCTTCTTCTTCCATTTGTAGCTCCATTGTTCTATCACATAGTTTGTCTCTATCATAGACATCTGGTATGATATACACTGATAATAAGAAATAATTGTCTTTGAAAAACTTTTTTAAAACTTTGTTGATTTGTTTGTATTCACCTTCAGAAGAATCTATCAGTTTATTTATTTCTCGCACCTTTTACTGTCTTGGGGCTGTCGGCAAAGAATAGCCTTGGTTTGTTGAGCCTGAAGTAATCAAGTTGTATTTCAATAATGCACATCTTTAGGAATTTTCCTTTGTCAATCATACTGGCTTCTTTCTCTCTTACCTTACTACATCCATTACAATAAACATTGTAGTCGCTTATTTGTTCGCATAACTGTGGGGCAAGTAAATGACTTAATGATACTCTCACATCATTTTTCATACAATCACATTTGGAATTATAACCATAATGAAATAGCATCATAATTTCCTACTTATAAAATATATGAAGTCTTTAAGTCTTATTCAGTGAATAACACTTAAACATATATTAATATTAACATATATAGGTATTGATATGATGAATATGAATACATATGATGAATATGAATACACATGTTATAGACTATTTACTTATACACGATAAAGCCGAAATACCTAAAAGAGAAAGAACAAATCAATTATCATAGATGGTAAGAAATTTAGATACAACAAGGCTAAGCCATTATCAAACACTTTGAAAAAACTAAAGTCAGTTTCAGAAACTAATGAATATAAAAGCCATTCAGTTAGAACAATGAACCTGAATTTAAAGAAAGCAATGACTAGGATATGTTATTAAAAACAAATTTAGAGTTCAAGAAGGAGTATCAGCATTCAAAAGGTATGCTAATAATCTCACACTTGTAAATAGGCATTTTCAAGGAGAACAAGGCGTATCAATGATAGTTCATCAAAAATATAGATTACTAGAATTCTTAAGAAATAATAGAAATATGAAATTAAACATCAGGGCTGAAGGTTTATTCAATAAACCTGAAACTAATGACGAGGATGAAGAACCCGAAGAAAGGACAGTCTTATACAAGTTGCCTTCAACAAGATTTAATGTCCATAAGGAGGATGATTTAACACAAGCGCTTGAGGACAGCGTAAAACAAATACTCTTACAGATTGAGAAACTACAAGGCACATCATCAAATTTACAGTTCAAGAAAATCACATCTATAACAATACACTATGACAAGTATCCGTCCGGGGGGTTATTCGGACCTTAATTTACAGTCGAATGTGTATTTTGTATTGGCAGGGCCATGCGAATTGCAACTTCATATCTGCAAGGAATTTGATCAAATTCCTTTCTCCAAGTGTAAAAAACCAGGGTTTTGGGCCATTTTGTTTTGATATATGCGTGCTTTGTTTATCAATGTGTTTTTTTTCCGGAACGTTTTCATCCAAAGGCTTCTTTGTGCAACTGTCGACCAGTAGCCTGAAACAAGTGTTTCTTCTGGACCCGCCGCCATTGCCACTGCTGCGCATCTGTCCTAATTCCAGCCATATAACATCTGTCCTAACTATCGTAACTGCAGCCATATCCTGTCAAAGGGAACTGCACGGTAGCTTACAGTGTCATGTACATATTCATGCATGTCAACTGTATTGCGACTTATGCCAACTTGTTTGGCTCAAGATCCAATCATTGCAAGGTAAAACAGCGAGCGCTTGCCACCGCATGTCGTCGGCTTGAGGCTAACAACGTTGACACTTGAGCACCTGACTGCATTGTAACCCGGAACAAGGGTAGAATTGTTCACAGGTTATCAGCCGTAGTGCTCTTACCCTCAACGATGGAAGGGTGCTCACGTGCTGTTAGCCGACGCCTGGAGCAAACGATCGTGGACGCAAAGAACCGATCAGCTCTACATCGCAAAGATGCAAGGCAGCAGTGGTGACACTCGGTTTACCTTCAACGACGATCCTGTAGCGCCAGCCGAAGAAGCTTCGCAGACTTCACCTGGTACTGCAGAAAGTGGGTCGAAATCAACAATGTCGAGAACGACTATGTCAGGATGGAATATGCCTGGACTGCGGAGGAGAGCTACAGCTAGTACTCTAAGATCGGCACGTGATGGCGCTCAAAGTGGAACACGACAAAGAAGCCATCGGTCGCCGAGAAGAACACCTACCCGACCGGGAACTCCGAGAGCAATCGAGGACCAACCCGGCAGGACAAGGGATGACGGTCGAACCAAGAGACGAACAGCAGAAACAAGTGGAAGTAGAGGAAGTAGAGAACCCATTTCAGTAATTGATGAACTAAGTCCCTCCAAGAGAAGATGGCCCAGTTGGAACTATATGCTGCGTCACGGGATCAACTCATCAAGGATATTGAAGTCAAATTCACGGACTACCTCCGGATTCAAAATCAGAATGTGTATGATGAATTCAATACCCTCAACCAACGATTGATGTACTCAACCAATGAAGTTGCAGAATATCAAGCTGAACTGATGTTAGCTTCTCGAGAAGATGAGGGTGCAACATTTCGCATCGAAGAACTCGAACGCCGAGGTGGCCTCATGGCGGACGGAGCCGGGAGAATTCATCAACGAGGAATGGAGATCCAGGAAGAGTACAAGGACGAAGTATCCCACCTTCGAGGACTATTGGGTAACACTGAATCAAGATTACAACAGATGCAACATAACAGTGATCTTGCTACAAGTGTTGCTGAGAAGTTGTTGCAAGAAGGAAGAGAGATGCAAGCTGGTCTTGAGAATTCCATAGTGGAGTATCGTAATCAATCCGAACTGGTATCGTACTCTCAAACTCATCTGGAGATGGCCAATCAACGACGAACTTTTGAGGTTAAAGAGTTAATGGATGAAAACAATTTGATGAGTGAAGCACTAGTACATTCCCGTAAACAAGCTGAGTTGTATGAGAACAGTATGAAACAGATCACTAGAGTCATTATAGAAAGAAGGTACATGAGGCAAACCAGGCCAAGATTGAGAGTGATCTGCGTCACCGAAACACCGAGCATGATACAATGAAGCGCTTTGAGGCTTACCGGAATGTCGAATCTGAGGCTATCGCTCGACTAAGGCTTGAATCCAATCTGAGCGTGAGTGCCAATAGCAAGATGGAGCACTATGAGAAGCTCTACGAGAATGAACATGCTCTGAACGATGAACTCCGAGCTGAGGTCAAGGACCGGGAAACGAAGTTGAGACGATCATTGAGAGAG